GAAATATACACCATCTCACTCTAACCAATAACGATATTTTTTATTTTGCATGTGCATTGATTTAAGTGTATTGTGCATTTGTATTAAACACGTGGAAAGCGTGATAATATATTATTAAATAATAGAGATACTGAAATTGCAAAATATAGTCATAAATTAATTAATTGTGATAAATCAAATAAAAAATGGGTGGATGTTCATTTTTTTATTTAAATTTTATTTTATATTGTAATAAAGTTTGTTTATAATAATAATAAATATGTATAATAATCCTTTCTAAAAAAAAGGCATTACATCTATACTTGCATCTCTCGAAATTTCCTCAAAGTTTATTGTTGACGCTTTTCCGCCATGAATTCTCTCTACGCTAACTTTGTGAATAGTTGTCATTGTATTGATTCCACAGAGGATCATTTTGACAATTGTGTATCAAAACGTTAAAAATATTATAGTGTAACAGTAGTATAATAGTATTATATTAATTTTTGCTCTTGTATTGAAAAAGATAAATAGTGGAAAAAAAATAAATTTAAAATCATTAAAATAAAAGAATATATATTAATAAATTGGTAATATAATTATATAAAATTATTATATAAAATAATTATGTAAAAGTTTTATAAATATACACATTTTATTATCTTTAAAACGCTTATGTTTTTAAATTATAATATTACAATTTAAGATTAATGTAGTTAATGTATTTGAAAATAAGTAGGAATAGCCAAAAGATAGGGGACCAATCAAAAGTTGTTTTTTCGTAGCCAGTCTCTGATTATAGTGTCTCTAGTATACTGTGAGTCTACGGTGTGAGTATACGGTAAGTCTTCAAGAAGTGGAAATGTCTCATTTACTAAAAAAGACAACGTGAGTTGGTATCGCTTTGTCAAGAGATTCTCGGATTGGTTAATATTATTCTCCAACTATGAGGTTAACACGTACACTGTAGAAAAGAGATAAAGATTCCAACTTTAGTATGCCCGTCCTTTTTTTCGCTGAGCCGCGGTTTTCTATAGTTTAATATAGGGAAGACTCACTCCAGTATACTATAGAGCTCAATGTGTACATCTAATTGTTCGAGTTTGATTTGGTAGTAGCATATGACAGTGTAGCAATGATTTCGGTATGATAAGTAACAGTAGA